CCCACCGTTTGATCCTGGTTCGTATGGACAACACAGCGGCGGTCTTTTATCTCAACAAGCAGGGTGGGGTGCGATCGCCTCCCCTCTGCAAAGAGGCCCTGTGACTTTGGCACTTGTGCGTCATGCACGATATCACACCTCAGGCGGAATACCTCCCGGGGTGCAAAAACCTGCTAGCAGACACGCTGAGCAGATCCTTTGGAGCCCACGAGTGAACACTCAAGGACTCTGCTCTCCGCCAGGTTTTCCGCAGGTGGGGTTATCCCTGCCTAGACCTGTTCGCCTCGGCACGCAATGCCAAGTGCAGGAACTACTGTTCCCTGCTGTGGCTGGGGAAATATTCCCTGGGGGATGCCCTGACGACCGTGTGGCCAGAGAGCATTCTCTATGCTTTTCCCCTGGTTCCCCTAATTTCTAGGGTATTGACCAGGGCGAGGACTTTTCGGTCCTCGATCATTCTCATAGCCCCCAGGTGGCCCAGACAGTTCTGGTTCCCCATCCTAATGGACATGCTTATCTAAGACCCAATAGCACTCCCTCCAGTCTGGGAACTGCTAACTCAACCCTGGGGCAAGGGGATCATGGTTCACCCAGATCTCCGGTCTCTCTACCTAACGGCATGGTTATCCGTGGTTGAGCCAACCTGAAAGGGAATGTTCCCAAGAGGTTCAGATGGTCCTTCTCAGTAGCAGGAAACCCTTTACTAGACGGTCGTACGCCGCCAAGTGGCGGCGCTTCTCATCTTGGGAGTCCCGGAGAAGAGTACATCCGTCCTCGGCTCCTATTCCAACTATTCTTGACTATCTTTTCCAGCTTCGGTCTGGTGGCCTGTCCTTTTCCTCTATCAACGTCCATGTGGCATCTCTCTCCGCCTTCCATGTTAGTACGGCAGGAGTCTCCCTTTTTTCTAACCCGGTGGTTAAAAGGTTTCTTACTGGCTTGGAAAAGTTGTATCCCTCAGTGAGGACCCCGCTTCCTGCCTGGGACCTCAGTGTGGTCCTCCACAGGCTTATGCTACCCCCCTTTGAACCGCTGGCCACGTGTTCCCTGCAGCACCTTTCATTGAAGGTTGCTTTCATCGTGGCCATTACATCGGCTCGAAGGGTGTCGGAACTAAGGGCGGTAACTGTAGACCCGCCCTACCTTGTTTTTTCACATAGCAACCTAAGGCTACGGCCTCATCCAGCCTTCCTCCCAAAGGTGGTATCACCATTCCACCTGTCCCAGGAGATTTATCTCCCATTTTTTCCCCCCAAAACCTCACGCCTCCTCTAAGGAGCGGGTGCTTCACTCCCTGGACGCCAAGCCGGTGCTGGTGTTCTACATTGACAGAACCAAGCCGGTCC